ATCATCATAATCATCATCATCATCATCATCATCATCACCATCATCATCATCACCACAACCACCATCATTATCATCATCATCATCACCATCATCGTCATCATCATCATCATCATCATCATCGCCATCATCATCATCATCACCACAACCACCATCATTATCAGCATCATCATCATCATCACGATAGGGACTCAGTTGTACCACTCGTCAAAAAAGAAGTTTTAGTGCGCTCTTCGTGCAAAACATATGTGTGCTAGCCTGCACTCAGCACATTTGCGTTGATTCATCCTTGCTGCGCCCGTCATGCCTTTGGGTACCCGCGTGTTTTTGTAAATTATTGAATGACGCCTGCGAGGTCCTGTCCGCCCTACCCTCGCCCCGGCGACTCGCCTCCTGAGGCGCATGTTACTTCGAGCCAGTCGATGCGCGCCGTACCAGCTAATTGGCTAAGGACACATTACACACTCAAGGCTTCGCAGTAGCGGACACACACAGGACGATCTATCGTTTCCAAGCCGAGCAACCGGTTCAGCCCAAAGGTTTGTGCGACCAATCTCACTGGTACCTCTAGCCCCGGCCGTACCTTCTACATCTGCGACACTCTGAGTGGAAGACATTTTTCGGCCGACACTGGCGCTCAACTGAGTGTCATTCCCCCCTTCAGCAACCGACCGTCGATTACTCGATCCTGGCCTCTTCCATTAGGCCCTCAACACTTCGCCCATTGCCACCTTCGGCACCTCCTTTTTGTCACTGGTCACCGACGTCTCTTCCCTTAGGTGTTTGTCGTTGTTGACGTCCCCTCTGCCATACTTGGTGCAGACCTGCTCACGGCCTTCGGTCTCATGGTAAACTGACGTTACTCCTGTTTGCATGACCAGACTATCAACCTCTTCCTCCGAGACGTTCTATCATTTGTCGTGTCCAGCAATCTTTCTGTTTCCGACTCTGATCCATAGAGCCCATTTCCACTGCTTCTCACCAAATATCCTTCACACGCGCTAATTCAAATGGCCGGGGACGCAGCGGTTGCGATCCCCTGGCAGAGCCTGCTGTAAAGCTCTTTTCGCGCAGTAAAAGCTGTTCTTACCGATTTTGTATTCCGTGGCTTCTTATTTGGGAAACTTTCTGTTGTCGACAAAACCACCTGCGACACATGTACTCGTCTGATCGGAGCTACATG